ACTAACGTAAGTTGAACTCATTTGAATAGAAATTCAAAAACACAAAACTTTTTCAATGAGTCTACGAATAATATTAATGAGTTGCATGATTATTATTTTTTTTATAGAATCTTTTGTATAAATTGAAATATCAGTTCAACAAATCAAGATTACATTTAATAAATGTTAATTTAGATAACATGTCTTTTGATAAACGACTTCGATGTGGTCGCATTAATAATCCACTTTGTGAGAAGATCCGCTCAGCAGGAGCAGATGTAGCTGGAATGCATAAAACTTTCAATGCTAAACGATGTAAATGTGGAAAATGATTCTTTTTAACGAATATAAGATCAGTTTCGTAACGTTGATCTTTCAAAAATAACATCATTTCTTCGCTAATTTCATCCATAATATTAATACGCATTTTTTTTGGAAGTACATGCGATGCTTCACAATATCCAAAAAGACTTTTTCTTTTTGGTGTAAGACTGTTGTCAACGGCTGTTGATACTGTATCTGTTTGTGCATCAGTAGCACCTTGGGCATTGATGGCAGAATCATGAATTTGAAAAGCTGCTTGTGCAACAATATGTTTTATCTTGTCACATAAACGATTTCTAAAACAATAAATATGAATTTTTGATTTCCAATATACGAGACAGGTTTTATATTCTTTTTATAAATTTTGCAAACCAATCAAGACAGAAAGATAATAAAAAGACATGAGTTTATAAAATATTTAAGAATAATTGGCACACTTACTTTATATCTTGCGATAAAGCTGATTGTAAGATCCAACGAAGTCGAAATTGTCCATCCAAAAAAGACGAAATCAGAAATATATCGTCCGAAAAAAGTTCAAATGTACTTCGACGCTTTATATGGCCATCAACAGGTATTTCAAGATTTAATAGAAGACCGCCAAATCTTTCTTTCAATGAATTTATAAGTGCATTACATAATGAACTTGTATATTTGCATAATTTTAATTCATTTTCCAAATCATAATAAATTCCAAGTATACTTGGCGCTACAAGTGAAATCGACACACATTGTTCGGCTTGTGTTCGAGTAGTAGCCTCGACGAATAATGTTAAAATTGATATAAATTCCCGTAATATAGCTAAATCTTTCATTGAAAGTACTAATTCACCTTTTTTTTGTTCCGTGAGCATATCATTCAGAAACACATTAGATATGTCAAGAATTTTCGAAACTGTAATAAACTGTGAATTCCACCTAGTTATAACAGCTAAGGGAATATTTAGTTTAAACTCCTGTAGCTTTTCGGCTACTGGAATACTTTTGTGGCTTAATTTCGCAATCTCGGCCACTTTTGCCATTGCAGACCGAGTGCACCCACTTTCATCTAAGCCATCTTTTACTACAAGCTGCAAGGTATGAATGAAACACGGCAACCGTAATAATTCTTCTCGTTTGTCCAATTCACTTTCAACTTCATCATCATCAGGACGATGTCCTTCAGACATGTTCAAGTTTATTTCATTTAGATCATCATCATCACTTTCTGCTATATCATCGTCAGTTATAAAATATGATTCGAAACCTGGTATAACTAATTCACCAAAAGCCGATAAATTATTCGATGCATTGTCTGTAATAAGCCGGACAACTTTATTTCCAATTGAAAATGCTGTTGAAACACGATCATATTCATTAAACAAATTTTCACCAGTATGACTACCTACAATATTTTATTAATTTACATTTGAAATGAATTGATCATTATTTATGATCGAATTCACGAGCGATTGATTTCTCTCATAAAAATACAAGAGATTACTCCGTTTATTAATTTTTGATTTTTGTTGATACATTTGTATGCATTGGAATGACCTTGATAATTTATTTTCTTCCTTCTTATCTCCATATTCTGTTTTACTTTCACATTCTTACATGGCATCTATGTACCAGTAGAGGCATAGTAGATCATTTATTTTTTCCTGTACATAGCGAATCGTCACTGTCTTTTCTCTATGTATAATCATTTTGCATACAAACAGAACTTATCTAGAACATATCCCCAGTCGTTTTGTTTTCTTAGATTAATGTGCATGATATTCAAACTAAGGATATTTCGTAAGATGACCTTTCATTTTTGCTGGCTTCTTCTTCTGTTTCTCTCTTTTCTCCCTCGTCTCTCTATCGATATATTCATCTTTCTCTATCTTGTATGCAAAATGACTAACTGAATTTGTCCGAAGGTATAGTAGTTGCTTTCTAGAATATAACAAAAATTCTGATTATAATATATTCTTCAATTCGAATACATCTTATGAATATGCAAAAGAATGAGGTTCGTTATTGATATTACAAGAAATATTATACATATTTCTTCAAATTTCTGCTCTTAATGTTTCTATCTTACTCATTTTTAACTGAAAACAAGATGAATGCAACATTTATCAGAAGCCTCCTCTTGTTTTCGTGATAAACAATTTTTGTTTTAATATAAATTAAATAAAAAATCTTACCAGAAAGAGGATTAAAAGCGAGTAAGTGTGCTTTTAATTGGCCCATTCGATCAATATAATGCATTGTAACAGCGTAAAAAGCTCGCATACGACGATCTGTCCATCCATCGAACGTTAATGAAAGAAAATCAGTTGATGAACATACATTTTTTAATCTTTTGGTGATCTGTTCATGTAATTTTGGTAAATAATCAGATGTTATTGATCGTCGAGATGGCACACGAAATTTTGGGTCAACGGTCTTCATAGCTTGTATAAATGCAGGTTTTTCAGTAATTGATAATGGTAAATCTAAGCCAACGATAAGATTTTGAAAAATCATTTTAGTTAATTCAACTTGACGAGGATGAGATGGTCCATATTTTGATGTATATGGAGACGAAGATAAACTATCTTCTAATGAAACTTGTTTGAACTTATTCTCATTTTTTTCTTTAAATGATGCATTTTGTGACCACAACTCATATTCAGCTTTATGTTTACGTTGTAAATGACGGCTATAATTTGATGTAGAAGCTTTCACATGCCAAACTATATCTTTACATAAAGAACATGTGGCAGATGTTTTACCTTTCATATCACCTGCAGTATACTCTTTAAAATAATCATAATACTGTTCAAGACCATGTCGACCAATTTTTGTTTTAACTGTACACGAGCTTTTGTCATTATTGGAGGAACTTGTTTGTGTATCAGACGTTGAAGGTGTCAGATCAATTGTTGTTATATCAGATGATGAATCCATTTGCATTCAGATTATACAGAAGTAATGAAGATCAGCAAGATATATGTTCGATAGACCGAATTGTTTAACAGTTAATATTAAATCACGCTACCAATCACTTACTAAATTCTCTCTCTATTTCTCTATTTTTCTCTCTCTCTCTCGATGTAATGATTCAAGGTCATCTATACGCCGGTTTCTTAATTGCGCCATGAATATCATGCACGTGCACGTCTGTTTTTATTATCGATTTTTTTCCGTTCTCTTCTGGCTAGTCATATAATCAACAGGAGTTAAATTGGAGTTGGAAAACAGTCACCAACTCCAACTCCACTCCAACTCCGCTCCATGTCATTTCAACTCCACTCCAACTCTACCTAACAATTGCAAAAGTTCAATCCAACTCCACTCCAACTCCGCTCCATATCATTTTAACTCCACTCCAACTCTACCCAACAATTGCGAAATTTCGATCCAACTCCGCTCCAACTCCACTCCAGGCCATCTCAACTCCTCTCCAACTCTACCCCACCAATTCAGAAATTTCGATCCAGCTCCGCTCCAACTCTAATGAAAAAAATCGTCAACTCCGGAGTTAACTCCAACTCCGAGTTGGAGTTGCCCATCTCTGTATAGATCTACGTGCGATCTTCTTTTTATTTTCTTTGATAGTTGAACGAACTTTAATCACAACAATTCATCTTCATCTTTCACTATAGACACTGAACGAATTGCACTTGGATAAGAATCATATTGGGGACAAAGAAGCACAAGGTCTTGCAGATGGACTAAAAGACAATAAATTAAGTTTCTTTTTTCAATTGATCTTTCTAATAAGTATAAGTCACCATACAAATCTTGTTCATTATTCATTTAAACAAATAACTAAGAACTTGTTTTAGAAAATACTAACTCTAATTAACAATATGGTTGCTTTCTCGATTAAACTAGATCATGGAATTAGTTGTTGAAATTATATTTTCTGTGTTTATTAATAGTCTGCTTTAAGCACATATTACGTACTAAATTGTTATCGTTGAATATAAAATTTTTATAGTTAAAAGTTAAGTTTTTGAAATGAGTAGAAGTCAAACGAATTTAAATCTGTAGAATATAATAGTTTTAAATAGGATTTCATATTTTCATAATGAAAAATAAGATCTTTGAATATCGATATTTTATTTCTCTGTTATTATAATTAGGAAATTTACGACAGATAACTATTAAATAAATTGATTTCCTTTTATATAATTTTAGTAATATGAACTTAATTAAACGAAATCATTAGAAAAAAAGTTGACACAATTTATTTATTTTAGTTTTAATTTTGATAATCAAATGATTGTTTTTAGCTTTAATTGAATCTATTATTAGATTTTAATTATTTATGATAAAAATAATGATCTATTACAAATAATAGAGTCAAATGAAATATACAATTATTTTTTTGAAAATCTTTAAAGTAAATTATGAAATAAACAAATATTGAAAAAAATCATCTTAAATTATTTTTTATTGACTTTTCAAATGAGCAAAATTTAATTACTCGATCAAAAATTCATAAAATCAATATGATATTTGTTCTCTCTCTGAATCTACAATAAGCGGATTTATACTTTCTTTTATTTTATTTTAGAATAATTTTCATTTATTTAAAATCGAAGTTTGAAATTGTTTTCTTCAATCATATTGAAACTAATATACTAATAGTTTTAAAGAAGTTCAAAACAAAAAATACAACGATAAAAAAGACTTTGAAATGTTTAAAATTATTTTTCACATTATTGTAAATATGCGCATAACTGTTATAGAAAAATATTTTAATTCAAATTTCGACTTTTACAACAATCGAATGTAAAAATTGTTTATAGTTTCGTGTTTAAACATACGTTTTTTTTTACTCAAATTCACATGAAATTATTGAAAATTAACCATCGAATCAATGATTAACACGAAAAGACTTTCAAAAAAAGCGGTATTGAAATTATTAACTAATATGAATATTTGAAGTTTATTTTTTTTTCATCTTGACTGTTAATAATCTTTTTCTTTTTATCTTGAATATTTCACTGCAACCACGTGCAGTTCTTCCAAATAGAGTGTTTGGGGGAAAAGGATTCGAAAAGAAAAATGAGTAACGAAATAAAAAGTGACCAAAATGTAGCCATAAAAAATATTTCAAAAAAAAAATTTGACAAATAACATACTCGTGTTGCTTACATAACACTTGATCAAGTCGGAAGAAACCAATAGTGAAATTGACTCGGTACACTCTAAGTTAAAATGTGTCGGATGTGTCGTGATTCACAACACATTCGAGCACGACACGAGGTGCTCGTTGCGACACATTTTCTCCAGCAAGCGTACGACACATTCTGAAATTGATGTTCGAGTCTAGGCTTCACCGTATCTATATTTTTTTTTTCTTTCGTGCATTATATCCGTCCATATTTAATTAATGCAATTAACATCAGTGTTTGATGCAAGAGTGTAAACCAGGTAGATCTTGAGATCCAGCCGT